GAGAGAGAGAGAGAGAGAGAGAGAGAGAGAGAGAGAGAGAGGAAGGCCCAAAGAGGTCACGTGATTGCATCAATATTGCACAATTAGTGTTAGGGTAAGGGCCAGGGTCTTAGTCTTCCAAGGCTAGTCCATGGCTTCTGCCCGCCAACACTGTTGGCATCTATTGTAGCATTAGGTTTGGGTTCCTATCTTGAGTAACTGGGAGATAAACGATGCTAATTCTGCTAGGTGTAAAGTCTATAAAATACGCCCGAGTTAGTACCAATTATGACATATCTATGGTGACTGTGACAAAACTCCTGGGACTCCATTACTGTGGACTTAACACATTCTAGTGTTAAGATTTTCAAAGAAAAAATAACAACAGCCCTGACCAGTTTGGCTCAGTGGCTAGAGCGTCAGCCTATGGACTGAAGAGTCCCAGGTTCGATTCCGGTCAAGGGCATGTACCTTGGTTGCGGGCACATCCCTAGTAGGGGGTGTGCAGGAGGCAGCTGATCGATGTTTCTCTCTCATGGATGTTTCTGACTCTTTATCCCTCTCCCTTCCTCTCTGTAAAAAATCAATAAAATATATTAAAAAAAACAACAACAAAAAAACCCAATAATATTGATCCATTGTCAGTTATAAACTATAAGGCTGGAGCACTCTGCTTATTTTGGTGATATCAACATAAAGCAGTTTGATTGTCCAATGAGCCCCAAAGCAGAAGTCATTAGTTTCTGCTTTCTTTTTAGAATAGACGGTTCATCAATGACATGGTGAAGATTTATTCTATCACTGCCACTAATGCAGTTGATGGGGTGGCATCCTCATGCCGTGCCTGTGCCCTCGGTTCTGAACAGTCGGGCTCATCGTGTGTCCCCTGCCCCCCAGGCGACTACATTGAGAAAGAAACCAACCAGTGCAAGGAGTGTCCACCTGACACCTACCTGTCCATACACCAGGTCTATGGCAAGGAGGCTTGTATTCCGTGCGGGCCTGGGAGTAGAAGCACTCGGGTAAGTGAGTCTACTTAAAGAGAGAAACTCAGAAGTTCCCTGTAATGTTTCTTCAGGAGCTACAAGGTTGTTAGTGATATTTACAAATGATTTTTTCACTCCCTTTCTCGTTTTCTCTCCTTTTACATTTATTGATACTACATTTGTTAATATGTTCCATGTAATTGCTAGTTTCTGGGGACATACAATTTTAAGAAAAGCACTCAAATAAGAATTCTTTCAAAAATATTAAATTTCTTGTGGTTCTGTTAAGGCGGGACAAGAAAACAACCTCTGCAGGTGGGCAATAGGAACATGCAGAGAGCAGCAAGTGTGTCTCATAATATTGTAAGGGCAAAGGTTGATGCTACATTTTGAATGCAGGAGGAAGCAGTTTTATTGTCTATTTAAACTGACCTAACAGGGACGTTTGACTGTGAAAGTACCTTTCTACAAGATACTAACCTTGGAATAACTACTTTGAAAAGTTCTGAATCTTCTAAACTTTGCCTAAGAATATCTAGTTAGTTTATAGAAATTCTCTGTAGTAGTATGGTAAAATATATTATGATGAAGATGAAATTACTGAAATAGATCTTAAACTAGGACTTTTTTTGAAACACATTTTTCATAGTAACTAATACTTTCTTTCCTGCTATATTATTAAAAATTTTTTACATTTCTTAATCTTAATCAAAGGACCACTCCGCTTGCTATAGTGACTGCTTTTTCTACCACGAGAAAGAAAATCAGAGTTTGCACTATGACTTCAGCAACCTCAGCAGCGTGGGCTCGTTAATGAATGGCCCCAGCTTTACCTCCAAAGGAACAAAATACTTCCATTTCTTCAATATTAGTTTGTGTGGGCATGAGGTGAGTTCTGGCTGCAGAGGTGAGATGGAGCTATGTATCAACTCAGAGTGAGTTAATATTTTCTATGTTGATGGCCCAGTAAATTCTCTATGGAAACTGACACCCACATGTCAGAAACAGCTTTGATCGCTTAAGTCCTCTGTTGCCTCCTAGCATGTTGGTTGGCAGCTTTCTCCACCAGGGGCAACCTTGCCTGGTTCTCAGTCCATCAAAGCACTCATCCAGTCTCTTGAACCCCAAACCTTGGAGCTATGGTCTAAGTGCTTTGAGGATCTTTTGTTTGTGTAAAAGTGGATCAGGCTTGTCATCTCTCCTATTTTTTAGGCAGGCAGTTATAGTTTGAGAAAGTTTTACTGTTTTTATAATATTGCCAATTTTGTGTCTTAAAAAGTAAAAGACTTCCAAGAGAAAGTTGATCCAGGAGTAGAAAGGAGTTAAGCAGGAGACAAATGTCAGTTGATCAGATAGCCTCTGCTAATAAACAATGGGGTTTTCTTTTCTGTGGGAAGAAGCAGACCTTAACTGACACTGGTAATGGGGAGAGTTACAGGACTATATGTTCAATATTTTTTAGGGCATACAAGGTTGGGATTTCCACCATGTCTCTTTCTATATTAATTCCTGATTATCTAATAATGGTCTTCATTATGACGGCTGTGCCAAACTTTGTACAAAGAAAATAAAGAGAGATTTAATGATCACATAAATTCTTAAAAAATCTATAAATTTTACATGGCATGACATTTGTCCTGTCCTAATTTTATGTACTCAGTTGGTTAGTTCCTCAATTTACTCAATAATATATATTAAGTATCTATTATGTTTACTAGTGTGTTAAGCAGTGAATGAAATTAATTCCATTATATATCACACTTCTTCTTAGTCTTATTCCTGTATTACCACTGTCTGTTCTTCCATCTTGTCTCTTCTCCTTCTTTCTCTTTTTCCCCACTTTATATTCTCACTCCTTTCTGTGTACTGTTGACTTTCTCTTTCCTTCCTTAGTAGTGTATTTCTGCTCTTTTCCACTTTTCTCTCTTTTTGGCTTCAACAATTTAATTTGAGCTTAGTAAAAATATGTTGCACCTGTATTGTGGTGAGAAGGCTTGGTGGAGGGAAGACATTTCATAGGTTAGGACTACCAGCTGCATTAACAAAGTGAAATCTTGATTCTTTTCTTTATGCCCATGTGTGCACACTCTACATCTAAGACAAATAAACTAGGGTTCCTATTTTTCCTTTGTACATTTCTTCATAGAAATTAATAGAGCAAGCTATAGTCCCTTTGCATTGGGGACTATAGTATATTTTAAAACATATTATATTTAAAAGAGTCTTCCAAATTTTTTATAAAATCCATATCTCCCAACTATCCTCCAAATGATTATGAAAGTAAACCTTTGTGTTCCCTTAAACTTACTGTGTAGTTGAGCAGATACATGTCCTTGAATCTAAGAGTATATGAATAAAGACACTTGTTGTGACCAAACTATTTACAATTTTGATGTTGTCTTAGGATTCTATGGCAATATGGCTTTTATGTTTCTTCTTCAGCCTTCACATCACCTTTCTGGCACACATCAGCCTATGAAGTGCAAGTCTTTTTCTTGGCATCAGCAGTTTTCTGGTCTCTTTGCATGCATTGTTATCCTATGAATTGAAGAGTTCATAGATGACTTATACTTCCTTATGTTAGATGGCTTTCATCCACCACAAATGATGCTTGCAGTTGGAGGAGGAATGCAGCCTTGAATTAGTATATTCATCATAACCTCAGTGACTCTCAACCCTGGTTGAAACATTAGAATAGCCTCAAGAGCTTTTAAAAAATACTGGTGGCTGGGCCTCCCACCAGATCTAATAAATCAGGATTGCGGTGAGGAGAGAACCACTGCCCTACTCGAGTCACTGGCTAGCTGAGATCCAGTTTAAAGAGTGACCCCCAATAAAACTTCTTTATGACTTCATTTTCCTAGGGGGAGAAGATGGCCCTCTGTACCAACAATATAACAGACTTCACAGTAAAGGACATGGTGGCAGGCTCAGATGATTACACGAATCTGGTAGGAGCATTTGTATGCCAATCAACTATTATTCCTTCTGAAAGTAAGGGTTTCCGAGCAGCTTTATCATCACAGTCCATCATTCTGGCAGACACATTTTTAGGTAAGCTTCATTTCGTTCATATATGCATGTATAAAACCAGGGTACTGATAACCTGCCATAGCATTGGTTTTTATCATAGATGATTAAAGCCCACAGGTAATTCTAAATCATCACTTTGTGACATGGTTAAAAAGCCCCTACAAGTGAGGTCTAGTCATTAATCTCAGTGAGTACAAGGAACTTCTGAATTTATGTATTGACTCAGATGTGATATATGTTTTCTGAGAGTTGGCCTTATATCAGATCCTTTAGGAGTTTAAGAGACAAAATAACTTAAAACACCAAAACTAGAAAGAAAAGAACAGTAAACAGACACAATATAAACCTAAATTATAATATCTGTCATCAGTTTTCATCATGTTTTTTCATACCAGAAGTAAGTTGGTGACAAGTAGCAAAGGTGAATGTGCTGAGTTTTATTCCCCACCTGCTTGTCTATTTCTGTGGTGTCAAGAACATAGGAATATTTTAAGAAGAATTCAGGTTCCTGTTAGTAATTCACAGGGATCAAATTCATGAGACTTTTTGGAGTGGGGCTTAGGAACCTAACAAGGCATATAACAATCCAACAAATCTAACAAGCTTCTTAGATGATTCTAATACGCAGCCAGATTTGAGAACCATTGCTATGGGTTCCAGAGGAATTGAGCTTTACTTTTCAGCACCAAGGTCAGTTACTGAGCTTGTGCTCAGCGTAGGAGCTGTATCAGAAGCAAAGGTCGCTGTGATTGCTTGCATTTTGGCTCTGCTATCATTTTGTTCAGGGAAAAAATGCCTTACTTTTAGATTAAGCAAATTTTGGAGTTATTTTTGGAAATTATTAGGGTACAAGAATCTTTTTTTGGGTCAAATATGCCTGTAATGAATGTGAAAGGAAAGCTGTATTAGTAAAGTTGCCCAGCTCATTCGACAAAACTCACCAGAGGCTGAGAAGTATAATAGTGGATTGTTCAAATGTTAGAACTGGAAGAGACTTTAGAGATATTGTAATTATTGCATGCATTTTACAGATTCAGGACATAAGAGCCAAGGAAGTGAAGTGACTTAAGTAAAATTACAAAACTAGGGTATAGAATCTTTTTTTTATCCATAGACTGTGGAAAGTTTCTTATTGTCATATTAATTTAATACAATATTTCTGCTAAAATGACAGTATAAAAGTAAAGCTATTTTCTATTCAGATATACAGATACTAAATAAACTTAATTTTCCCATATTGCTCAGTAATGTCTTTTTTATTGCCATGTAGGAGTGACAATTGAAACCACATTGCAAAATATTAATATAAAAGAAGATATGTTCCCAGTTCCACTGAGCCAAATACCAGATGTGCATTTCTTTTACAAGTAAGTGAAGATGCTGTTTCCCTTGACAGTTTTTTTTTTTTTAAATCAAAAGAATGTCACTTCAGGGTGCCAGCATAGTAGCTTATAATTAATAGATAATCAGCAATTGGTTCTTAAATAAAAGACTTAGTAAAAAGTAGGAAACATGGAATAGTTTGAAAGCCTTATATAATTTTGCTCATATATATATATTTTATATTTAAATATAAAAAATATATTATATGTTTGCCTAATTTATAATATTTTATATAATTTATATTTTGCCTAATTTATATAATATTTTAAATTAGGCAATACTGCCTCTATTGTGTAGGCAGTACTTATTTATAACTTATACAACTAAACATCAGCCTGAGTGGATATGACATTTTTCCCTGCTGGAGGCTAATTCCAGCAGGTCATAAATGCAAGTTCATCAGAAGGTTGATGGAATTTAGGCTTCAGCAGGGCTAAAGATCTACATGTTATTGCCTGCTGCCAGACAGCTGAGGGCAGTTCCCCCAACCTGATGGTCCTTTACTCTTTACCAAACCTGACCTTTGATACGTATATCTGCTTTGCTATAGGGCAAAATGTGGGAATAAAAAGCCTTGGGCCCGGAGATTGGGGAGCTGAGTTACTAAAGCTAAGCCTCCCCTGACTCCCACAAAATGCCTCCCAAATTTATATTTCATGTCTAGTCTCTTTATTAATTTGTGTCGCAGCCCTTTCTCCAGATTCCTGAACCCTAGGAGATGCGAATAAGACCCCGGCATTTCCCTTTAAACTTTCTTTTGATTATAATTTTGACTTTAATTATAGAAGCTTTACTAAACACCTTGATAATAGCTTATCACTTTACCTGAGAAAATAGTAAACTTTTTATAGTCAGTAAAAGAAAATGAGCTTAATTTGTATGAAAATTATAAAGTAGTGAACTTTGATTCCTTTTCCACTTGTTTATATAGCATAGGAGTTTTTATATGGAGGATATTTTTGTCTTTGTAATCTGTGTCATATATATTTTGTAAAATGGTATGTGCTTTACAATAGGTCTTCTGCAACTACAACATCTTGTGTTAATGGCCGGTCAACTGCGGTGAAAATGAGATGTAACCCTACTAAACCGGGAGCTGGAGTGATTTCAGTCCCCAGGTAACCCTATTCTAAATGATTATTTACATTTTTATGTATTATGAGGAAGCAAAACTCTAGCATCTTAATATTTTAAGAAATATTCTCTATGGATGTAAAG